GTCGGACAGTTCGTTTACGGCAGCTGTTGAAACCAGTTCACCTCAGTAGTGCGTTGCGAAAAAAACAATGGAAAAAAATATTGAACAAAGAGTTTGCATCAAATTTTGTTTTTCGAACGAAATTTCGTGTGCAGAATCGTTGCGAATGCTACAAAAGGCTTATGGGGAATCAGTTTTATCGAAAACTCAAGTTTATGAGTGGTACAAAGCCTTTCAGGACTGTCGTACGACCGTCGAAGACATGCCGCGTTCTGGACGACCTTCGACCTCTACCACCGACGAAAACATTGAAAAGGCAAAGGAAATCGTGTTCAAAAATCCTCATGTGAGTGTTAGAGAGATAGCACGAGAGCTAGGCATCGGTCGTGAGATGGCTCGTTTGATTTTGGTGGACAATTTGTGTATGCGACGTGTCAACGCCCGGCTTGTTCCGATTCACCTCAATTTGTTCAACATTATCAACGATTTTAAGGCCAAACATTCAATAAATACCATCGAACAGCCACCGTATTCACCTGATCTTGCACCGTGTGACTTTTTCCTGTTTCCCAACCTCAAATTACCACTCAGAGGAACGCGTTTTGAATCCATAGAAGACGTAAAACAGAATTCGCAGAGGGAACTCAAAGCCATACCGGAAAGCGCCTATAATAAAATGTTTTGATGATTGGAAGAAAACGTTGGCATTTGTGTTATCGCTTCTAATGGAGCATATTTTGAAGGAGATAAAATAAATATTGATGAAGATTAAGAATTTTGCGTTTGTACATTGTGACCGGAAACTTTTCGGTCACAATGTATAATAAATACACATATCCATAATCTCTCAACTAAACATTTTATTAGGTACCTATACATATGCATATATATATACAATATATATATGTACAATATTGCATAATTGACAATGACTACCGCCTTAACAAAATCGCTCTCCAGCATAAACAGATTTATACGAATGCCATTTTTTGTTTCCGTACAATTAATGATTTCCTTAAGTTCAGATTTGCATAAATTTTTCATTATTTTCAATGAATCTGAATGGAAGCATTTGTTAGATGCTATAAAGGTTTCCTTTAGCTTTTTGTTTGTGTTAATTGCAGCACACGGGCATGCAGCAGTCAATCGCCGCCATGTCACATGATGCAACACTTAACCTACAAGTTTATGAATTCAAAATTATATACCGGCACGCGTTCCACAGCCAACACAACTTAACCTTTGCTGGCGAGCTTACTTTTGTTGTTCTTTGCAAAATAAGTAAAAAACATGTACAGAAAAAATAAAAATTTGCTTCGTGAAATGTTTCCAATTGCTCTTGACCTTGATTGTTTTCATGTATGTGAGTGTGTTAAGATGCAGACATGTGTTCGTAACTGTGTGCAGCTCAAGTGCTGCCAGCACATATGGCATATGAATGCATTACACATTACACGTTACACTTTTTGACTTGGTTGGTTGCCTTATTTTTGCTTTTGAACTCAATTCCATTCATGTGACTAAAAATAGACTCAATGTTGAATCTTTTTAAATTGTTAAATGGTTTTTTTTTGTGGTATATATGAAATTTAATTTGTTTTTTCTCAACTTTTACTTAGTAACTGTTTCTGAATAGAATCTGCTTTATAAGAACAAAAATTAAGTTGTCCGAAAAATATTCAGAAGAAAATGACAACAATTTTTACACAAAATGTTTTGTATTGTACAAATCAAGATTTTAAGCTTTGCTTCAAAGAAATAAATTTTAAAATTAATATCTAAACATTGTCTCATTAAATAAAAAGTAATGTTTTGGACATCGGCATAAATCCTTCAGTAGTTGTCTCTGGGAAAATCTGTTGATTTAATTGTCCGAATATAATTTTTGAACTACAATTATAGGAATTGAACCCTATCAACTTACAACCATGTAGCCGTGTGGTAGCATACAAAGTCACCGTACACATAATATAATTTAACATGCTAAAATTTAGAACAAATAAACAATTTTTGTTGTTTATTGTTAAACAACCATTACACATGATTCAAAGTTGACATGGTTCAATTTCTTACACTTGCAGTTTAAAAATTATATGTGGAAAATTAAGCAAAGAGATTTCTTCAAAAACCACTGATGTTAGATATTTGGCGATATCCGAAACAAATATGTGGTCAAGTCCAAGAATTTACTTGATTAAAAAATTGTTTTTAGATTTAAATTTTTTTACTATTACCAACATTTTTTATTCGAAATAGATTTCTTGTCATAGGACAGAAAATTCTTATTTAAAATGTACTATGATAAAATTTATAAGCAAATGGAAAAGTACCATTGGATAATGGCCAGCCTCGATTTAGGCAATCAATTGAACTATCATTTGAAGGAATCTCCTAAGCAAATCCATATAAATGAAGACTATTGATAAACTAAACTGTGTCTCATGGTGCGAGACAAATAATCCCTTCATTAGGTTTTATCAAATTCGTTTGGAGGTACTAGATCCAATTCTTTCAACTCATGAGATACAAAGATTAACAGAATCCACAGTTGTTAATATTCTTTAATCCTATCTTTGAATAGGATTATGCTTTATTATGTCTACGTATAGTCTACATACATAGTGATAATGTCAGGTTTCAGTATTGTTTTATACTATCTATGTGATATATACGCTCATGATAGTTATATGAGCTGCATATTTCTCTTTTATAAGTCTGAAATTCTAAAATATTTTTTAGAATAAATTAGCAGTCAAGAGAGGCAACTTTGCACTAATATTAGTTTTCAACAGACAGAGACAATACAAAACCGATTTTTGAGCAGGAAGTTTCAAAGATGAAGTTCCTTCGAGTCTAATACTCAACATTTGAAAAAATTTTAGTAATAAGATATTTGCAGAAAATATAAATTGTACAAACAATATTCTATAAAAAACTATTTTCATAAAACATAAAATGCGGTCTTATTATTCTTAAGTTCAAATTTAACTTAACAGTTTCAAAAATGCATTTACTTAGACAGAATTATATTCATATATATATACTATAAAATGCTAATAACAAATATAATTAAGTCGTTGTTAGATGATTAACTACCTAGAAGTACAAGATCCAAGTATAAGAAACGTCATTTCCTAACAGCTGGAAAAATGCAGAAAAATGGATTACTTAAGTTAAAGACCTTTAGTAGAAGTTTTTAACCTTTATTAAAACTGGCAGACACAGTTTGACAAAAAGTAGTGTACAATATATGAGTACATGTAAATAAAACTGTAGTCTTCTTTATTCAATAAAGCATTTTGTTCTGTGGGTTTCTAATTCCATTATCTATATTTGTTGAATTGTACTTATCCATTCTTTTTGAAAATAGATTTCACTACATTTAAAACTAATACTAATTTAAATTAAAAGGAAATAATTGAAAATAATTAAACATTAATTAATCCATATCAGTATGAACTTGTTCCAACTTTTATATATTGCACATATATGGAGGTCCTATACTCCAGAAGGAATTCAGAAAATCAGTAGTACATATTATATGTATGCATTGTATTAAAGTTATACAACTTCTCTATTAGACAAAAATTATTTTGTGTCATTATATAGAATTTTCCATATGTTTAAATTTAAAATTAAGATAAAGGGAATCAATCGCTTGATATCAAATTAATGTTTTTTAATAATATAATCTATTTTTCAAAACTTGGAGGACAAGTTAACAGTACGATTATAAGTATTAGAACAATAAGTCATATCACCTTGATTTATTATATATTAATTTTTTTAACCTTAATATTAATTATTAATAATTTAATAATATCATTTAATTTTAAATTTTCTTAGCTGAATACAAGGTCTATAAAAGACGATATGCGATATTAGCGATATTCACGTTGTACTCCGCATGTAATGCCATGCAATGGATACAGTACAGTATTATTAACAACCTGGTCACAAAGTAAGTAATAATAACAATTATAATCAAGTACTACATAAATTTATACACTACTTTGTAATTACTAAATTACTATTTTTGTTTTTCTGTCAATAAACAAAAACTATTTACTATATATATAAATAATATTTTTTTTTCCGAGGTAAAAATCAATGCATACACATATTTAATTATATATTATATAGAATAATAACATATATAAAAAATATATTATACATTAATACTTAGTCCCTGTATAAAAATATGACCTATTAATCGAAAAACTCTAGTTGCGGACACAACATTAAATATAATTTTTATATCATACTTTATATTATATATTAAATATGCCAAGACTGAAAACTATAAATTATAAACTAGACTGAGAACTATAATTAAACTTAGTCTTCAAATAATAAATTTTTAGTTGGTTAGCTACACTAGTAACAAAGTTGATAAAATATAGTTAATTAATATCATCTCAAAATCCATCAGTCTAAATTTGTAAGAAGATTTGTAATGGGATTGACAAATTCTGTGAAGTCAGAAAATCAGATACATTTCTAAAATGAATTTGGCGTCTGTATTTAAAATTGTAAATGGAAAAGGTTGACCTGCGAGACGTCCAAATTACAAATTAATGTGTTCCACCTGCTTTTCATTAATGATGAAAATTCCCTTCGGTAAAACTGGGACTTTAATGGAAAAATCACCATAATTCTTTTAATAGGTCAATGGGGGTCAAGTACACATGGCGAAAAATTGTACCAAAAAAGCAAAGACTTTACAAATGTTTAGGTCTGATAACGGCATACAAGGATGGAATTCTACAAAGAAGCGAACCTGATGAGTACCCCATCTTAAAAAAATAATCATAATTATAAACTATATAGGTTGCATTCAAAAAATGTTTTCTTTAGCTTAATCCCAGGAAGCTTATGTGATACTGAGATAGAAGAATTCGTTTTTAAATTGGAAGAAATTATAGAGGTTTTGAAAATATGAATATGTAGAAATAATTCTAAATTGTATGAATTGTAAATTCTAAAAGATATTCTTTCTAATATTCTAATTATGGATATAAAAAGCTTTGCCAGTGGAACTTGTAATATTAGATTCATAACAAGAGGATTAAATACAAATAATGGTTAAAACAATGACTAAGGCTTAAATCTCTTCGTACCAGTTATTTTATTACTTGTTTCTTAATACGGTGGAAAATGTTTTAACTCTACTATCCAAAAACTACAAGTTACTCATATTCAGGCTCTCCGAAGGCTCTTCAAAGTGCGATGGTACATCCGTATGAATGACATTCTAAGAGACCTTAGAATAGATCCGTTCAAAAAGTACATAAGGGACAGAGCTCTAAAGCTCTATGCGAAAACCGACAGGCTGCCCTACTTAGCACTATCTAATCTCAGAGTAATCACTAACCACACAGGGCGGTACGATATCTTAGATCAATCATTGAATAATAACGAAAATTTATGAGGAATACTCAAATTAGTCAGTGAGATGGGTGGGACTCTGCAGAAACCCCCCAGCCATCATAGAGTAAAAGTGCCCAGATGCACTAACTCGGAAAAGGCTTAACATAAGGCATAAGACAAATATATATTATAACAATCAAATATGTGGTACCGGCAGAACTTATAATAAAAATGAATTTTGATGAATTTGTAGCTTTCCTTATTTTGAGTAATGATGGTATGCGTGAGTGGAATGAAAGAGTTTACTTTCTAACACTTTACCATGAAAAAGTATTCGTAAACTATTGCTAGCAATAGTTTTTGGTAACAAAATAAAGTACTATAGGTACTTCTATATCTATTCTATATATATCTATCTTTTTTAACAGAAAAACTTGAAAACCGTTATTTTAGCATATATTGAATTGAATGAATTTGTATGAATTGGATGGTTTAGTTTATTCAATGTTTAGACTACTATTTATGTCAATTGTTTGAGTTATTGTTTGAAACTTGAGAATATTATATGAAAATATTATCTGAGAACAATATCTAAATCCAAAAATCGAATCCAAACAGATTGTATTGTTTTTCACCTATGAAATGTGAACCCATAGCAAAGTGCATATTCATATTCATTAATAGTTCAATTTAAGTTTGTGAATGAGATTGATGATTATTGAACACCTAAAGTAATTTTGATATGATACATACGAGTAAAGTGCTATCATATGAAAACCGCTACACTTTGAAATCATTAAAAGCATATTTAGATTTTATGCACTTTAAATTTTTACCAATGTTTCAGCAAAATTTTCAACCAATCTGTTAAAAGCATTCAGCCCAAATAATGTATGATGTGCCTAACTACATACCTCAATCTGATCAATGTTATACGCTTTGGTGACACATTCTGAATACAACCTTCGAGTTTTTTGATTTGAAATCATTGACAGGATTCAAATGAAGTTAATTATCGCAATTCACAAAAACGCCTATACATATGTCATGGACGATGGCAAAGCATAACTTTTACACATACATCACTTTTCAATTTGATCAGAAACAAAAATGTATCTTCATCATATTTTCAATGTGAGGTGACACCATTTCATCATTAACTTTTTTCTTCATTTCAGATATTACAGTATTAGCGACAAATGGGTCGACTGGACATCTATGATTTACATGTTTCTTTACATACCAATGGTTTTTCCTGGTAGTTGGTTTTTGGACAAAATGGTTAGCAAAATTTTGAACTTTTCTGGGACATGCATATGGCTTTCGTTAAATGAAATGCTTTTAAATTTTGATTGTTGCAGGGTCTACGTATTACAGCTATAGTTGGTATTGTGGGTACCTGCATTGGCTCTTGGATAAAAGTGTTTTCAGTTGAACCAGATTTATTTTATGTTACATTCTTGGGGCAATCTATTGTTGCACTTTCACAGGTAATGTAAATAAAAATACATATTTTTTATATAATATTAGGAGTATAGAATCTCAAAAATGCATATTTACATTTCAAAAGAGAAAAAATCATCATCACTGATGATGAGTACTTTGCAATACTCAAAACGGTGTTGTATGATCAACCAAATTTTAAAAATTAATCAAAGTTTTTGCTGTTGTTTCTTTTTTACTGTTCGACCCCTTTACTGTTCGACCTCTTTACGTCATAAGAGGCGTCACATTCGACAAAAAATCAATGTCACTTAGTTCAAGAAAGGAAAAAAATCATATGGAAAACGCTCGTTTATTCTCAACATTAATCCAGATATTATCATATCTTATAAAAAAGTCTACCTAAAAAAAATTCTGCAGTTATAAATAATACAATATTCTCAATAACGATAATCAATGAAATGTGCTTAATAAGTGACAGGAATAATTCTTATCTACCTTGTGGGCTCTATTAAAGAGTCGCTCGCCTGTTTTTCTTTAGAATCTAATCAGTCATACGTTTGTGTATTTAGTTGATTATTCTAATATTTTATAAGTACAAAGATATGCTATAACTTTTACGCCTTCTTTATGATTGGCCTATTTACAGGTTTGCATTTTATCACTTCCAGCGCGGCTTGCAGCAGTTTGGTTTGGACCGAATCAAGTTTCTTCAGCTTGCAGTGTTGGTGTTTTCGGAAATCAGGTAAGTGAATCATTTAGAATATTAATTTTTGTATATATTTGAAGTTAATATGAAGATTCATTTTTGTAATATAAGTTGAGTGCATTAGAACATAAAAATTGATTAACAATACACTTAATAAAATACCCAGATTAATGTGTGTATATATTACGCAAGTTATATGAATATATGTGATGGCATGCATTGAAGTCCTCATAGATCTCAAAACTTTTCATAATCATATGCAATCTCATTCACAGATGGTCATTCTGAGAATAACTAAAGGTAACATTACTTTATGAAATTGTTTTAATGAGTAGTCGTTTAATACTTCCGCAAAGCAACTTCCTAAAATTTTAATTTCGCGAGACATCATGCATCCAAAATTTGAACTTTACCATAAAAATAATTCTGATTAATACATGTTATGAACCTTGAAGATACACTAAGGTTCATAACATATGAAGATTAACATGATATACGGACAGTTATATATTTCTCATTGCAAATGGAGTCGAAATAGACGTTTATAGACCATATTTAGAAATGTTAGGCAAAATTGTAATTATTTTAAAACAAAAATTTACATGATAGACAAGGGTATTTACTTCAACCTTCAATGTTATTATCAGAACCATATAATAGTCATCTTAACTGATAACTAGACAGTATGTAAGGCTTCTTAAATCGCTTAAGATTTAAGCAGATTATTTAAGATTAAATAATCTTAAAATTACTTAATATTTATTACAGGATCACTATCATTATCCTGCAATACTGGGAACTCAGTTTTCGTAGAGAAAGCAAAGAAAGAGGCACAGTATATATATCTAGCTCGCAGTGCAACATCTGTAAACGGAATGATAATTAGTGCATTTATTAAATGAACTTGAAATAATTGATATTCGGAAGTATAACATTTCTTAACTTATTTGATTAAAATGTTCGCCAACAATGTTATTTACCCATTTAGATAAAGCTAACAAGATAGAACATTATAGATAAAGCCAACAAGAACATATTCTAAAAATTTAAACCAATATTTAAAAAAGAATGTTTAGATATATATAATTATATAATATTATTATATAAAAATTATTATTATAATATATAAATATATATAATATATATTATAAATTTTTATAATTTATATAAAGAGGTTTTTAGAACAGTAGTGAACTATAACAACAAAAATTCATTTTATATTATTTTCATTCATAGAATTTTTGACTGACCATACACTTGTTTCGAGTATTGCCAAATACCCATCATCAGTGGTGTTGGAAATAATTCTTGTATTTAATTATTAGTTAATAATTTTTTGAGACTGTTAGTACCAGGAATCGAACTAATGTCCTGCCAAATTGGAAGCTCAGAGTCAGCGAACCTTTACCAACTGAGCTCAAAGCCGTGTTTGACTTTTATGTTCGTAAATTTTTCTGGAGTTTTGTTAATTCGCTTTGAAATTTTTATTAACAAATTTACTTGATGTGTTTATATTAGAACGAAATCATAAAACAGCTGTAGAATAATTGAATTAATTAATCATATTTTTATTTTTTATTGTTAAATTTCAATATTATTGTGTTTTAATTTATATAGGAATAATTTATATTTATAATGTATAGATAAATATAGAATATTTTATACATATTTATTCAATAATTAAATTTGTTACAAATAGTTCTCAAAAAAAAAGCATAATATAGTTATTTTAATACTAAAGATAAATATAGTCACATGTTTGTACAACGATTTATACTAATCCGGAAACTTGTCATTTTGTATGTAATATTCAATATTACCAAAAAGATTTGTCATCCCGTTTTATCTGAATCTTTTTATTTCTTTTTATTAATTCTTTTTATTTATTTTTATTTATTCTTTTTATTTATTTTTTTTGTTTTTTGCCATTTTTAGCACAATTTTCCTATATACTCGATTGAATGTACTTTCAACCATTTGAAAGCTTTGTGAACTGTGCCCAAAGGACATCTGCTCCAAATTGTTGAGTCAACAAGATTTAGCACTCAAGCACTTGTCATAAATAGAACAAAAACGATATAAATGAAAAGGTTACAGTCAAACAGAATTCACTATCACAATTTTATCTAAATAAATCCTCAGTGTTGATATTCAATAAAATAGACCAAAACTGAACAGAGGAAACTTAATCAACTGTAAATGACCATGTAATAAAAGACGCAGAAAGCGTTTTAGTTACTTGAGTACACTACATTGAAATAGTGAAGAAAATTTAAAATTATATTTAATTTTTTAATCCACATCTACTATTTTCTAGTATTTTTAAGTGAGAAGCGATATCCTCACTTAAGTGCAATCCAAAATATTAATAAGAAATTTTCTGTCAAATCAGTCACTTATTAAAATGCAAAATATGAATTATATGCATATATAAGAAATCATTTAACATATTTAAATTAAATTGATTACATCGCATAGAACTCAATTTTTTCATCCATCCTTATTAACCTTCACGCTATGTGCTCTCTTATTTTGTAGTGCACTGCACACATGTTCACTTAGTTTGGTTAGTAAACTAAAGTGAATAATTTGTCAAATTTTTTTCCACTCTCTGGCAAGTGTAGATGAAAATGCAATAATAAAACTGAAATGATTACATTTAACGAACTTTTTCGTAGTGAAAAAGTTGAAGCATTTAGTCACGATGCATGGCAGGATAATCTTAATGAAATGTTATGTATAAAATATGTTCGGTAGAGGACATATGCATACGCACATTCATATAAAGAACATGCAATAAAAAATTTCATAAAATGTTAGTTGAACCGCCAGAACAATAAAAGGGTAGAGAATTCAACTTTGCTCGGTTTGTTTGCATATTTGCAATCTACTCTACACAAATTTATGTCTCAGATACATTTTTGTGCAACTGACATTTACAAAGAATCAAAAAGCTGCATGACATTTGTGGAAACGCATAAAGAACCACATTTAAAATGTTCATTAAAAAAGTTTTGTTTTTTATTAAGCTAAACTTTCGTATGCAATTTAAAGAACTTTTAATATTATCAAGTAAGAATTAAACTGATTCATTTCAGTTATATATTATATGTATTATTGTAGTGCACTACTTTTCAAAACTTCGCTATTACATACAATAGTTTCTATTAAGAAAATAATCACTACCGTTAAGATTATATATACAAGACTGGATATACTTACGGGTGCAAATTGTAGATTCTGTGAAGAGAATGAGGACACACGGCCACACAGGTGCTGTTAGAATGCCCTGCACTATGTAATGCACATACGGGATAGGCTCCTGGGAATGTATATTCTTACGAAAGAGGCAATAAAACTCTGTAAAGTAGGTTCTATACTACTTTTTATTGACGGAACTGGGCTTATAGACCTACTCTAAACACAATAAACCCGACGGTCGCAATGCCACATCCCCTAACAATAATAATATATGTACTCGTATGTTACTAACATTGGAGTTAATTAATTAATATTATCTTGGGAAAACAAACTTAAGTACAGAGTTTAGTATTTGTTATAGATTTGTAATCAGATCACTAAAAAACGTAAACTCACTGCTAAAAATATTGATGCTGTGAACCAAAGTGTAAATGAAACTCGAGAGCGAATATTGATCTATCATTCTCTAGAACTTAGACTCATTGCACTACATGGAATATTATTCATAAAGATTTACATTTCAAAGTGTACTATATATCCAAAAATAAGATGAAACTTTTAATCTAACATATACAGGGTTTTCGATTTCGACTACTCTTGTTTTTAAGTTAGTACGAGTGTACCAACTTTTACTTTTGCTGATATCTGTGTCAATTTATATATCAACATTTGCTTTCTCTAAAGTTAAGTATATGATACCATATATGATGAGTATATGATAATGTTTGATATGAGAAAATGTATTTAAAATGCATTTTCCATTGTAATCAAGATTATTGTCGCCTTAGAAGAGAAGAATACCTACATGCTTTTCTTAGTCTAGAAGCGTTAATGAACCGAATTATTTTAAAAACTAAAATATATTTCAGTTACAATTAAAGTAAAACATTTCAAATGTATGAAATGACATTAATTAGGCGTTTTTAATTGATACTATGAGTGCTATCAAAAATATGGTGTTATAGGCCATACACTTCGTGATCGATTAAGTATGAGAAAATGTCTTATTTGGTGGCTATACAATGGCTCTTATTTGAAAACCCTTATTTGATTTTAAAAATTAACTATATCGATAATCCAAAAATATTTGAAATTTTATTTCGATTATAATTTTATTTAAAAAAACAATTTAGAATACTAATTTACTTGGATTTAACCTAGTTAACAAAGTACATAATAATTTTCTATGGTTAATTATCTTCTATTAAGTTACTCATACGCCACAACCATTTCCTTTTGATCCTTAAAAATTTTGATACCATCTTTGCAATTCCGTTTCGTAGAGTCACATAAAATAAAGTCTGTAAAGATTAAGAGTGAATTTATACTTGTATGGTTATATAGACAACATAATGATAAAGATTATATGATGAAGATTATATACTTGATTGTTAATTTAATGCTAACAATTATTAGCTAAATTCCGATAATAAATATGTAGGTATAGGTGATATCTCAGCATTAGAATGGACTCCACAAGGTAGAAGGAATCGTGGGCGGCTTAAAAGTACATGCAGAAGATCGATAAACAGGGAAACTAACAAATCATTCAGCGAGCTTAGAGTATTAGGGCGTAAAAGAGGTATCTGGAAAGCATATGTGTAAAGACTAAGTTCTTGAATTGTGCTTGTAACATGTCATAATAACATGTCATAATAATAGTAATAATAATAATAGAGGTGATAAATATTCGTTGAAAAAGTTCTAATAAAAAATGCCAATTATACTGTTATTATATAGTTTTTATGTTCAATCCATGATAGCTATTTAATTTTTTTTATTGTTTAATATTAAATAAATTGATTGAAAATATTTTTTCATAAAATTTTCGTTTC